ACTACAGCTATGTCTCGAATAATGCGACGTTTGTCGAACAGGACGACGTCGATCTCGCTATTCATCGCTGCGTTGGGGAGAGGGTTCCATGTCCACCTCCTGTTGATCCTTCCAATGTACAGGATGGTATGTTTCGCATTGTGCCGTTGTCAACCGTTGTGCTTCTCGCATATTTCGCTCTCCGGTGTCATATCTACCGGCAGATTTTTCACAGGCGCTGAACCTTTTACCTAAGCTCTATTAGCCTCAGTCTTATGATTAACGAGAAGCGGTTTATGTTATGGTTATGCAGCGTCAGCGATAGCTCTGCACATTTGCTGGCACATATTACAGTAGGAACTTTCGAGCAGCTTAATCTGGATCGAATGCAATATCTCACCGATGCCGGTGCAGTCCCAACCACTGGCCCTACAAACCGTTCCAATAGGCGGCTGAGAGTCAGAGAGGATAATTCGTCTGGTGCTCTGGTCGAATTTGAGCTTTGTCTTCAGCTTCAGTAAGGCGATGTTGTTTTCATGCGTAAGAGCGTCGTACAACTGGTGACCAATTATACCTTGGACTTCAAGTGTCGTTGCATTTTGCAGTGATCCGGCCATCACCCTGATTCTGGAGGCATTATATCTAAAAATGCAGCTCGTTATTGATGACAAAACATCTGTTATATCATCAACCGTCTATAATTGCTTTTTAATTAATGTCTTAGCATTGAGTGAATACTTTAACGTGACATTGTTTTTGTGATGCACTAGTAGCCTGTAATAGGTGCATGTCATAAATAATACTAGAGATATTTCAAAAGGACGCTACACAGCTACGTATATTAAATGCATATAATATTTTACATCTTCTGTCCACATAATCTAATTCATAGTATAGAGCGGCGAATGACCAAAGTGCAGAAGCAGATGATAGGGCAAATGGTGCTGAAATGCGTGCCTTTGGGCCACTACGATAGTCGTACAGATCTGTACTGATGACTTCTGCATCTATCGTTTAATCCCGTAATGATAGAAGATGCGCATCTGTTCCTAGGAATTAATCATTTTAATACTCTGATGGCCAG